TACAAAGTTAATTTCGTTCCTAAGGATTAATATGCCATACTTAATAATAACGCTAATAAATCACTTTTTAGTTTTCAATATTTTTTGTTATACAATACCTTATTTTAGTTTAAGTATAAGAAATAGACCTATGGTATCGTAGATTTTTAAGGGATAGATAGCTTATACTACTTTTCATGAATCTGGATACAATAATATACAAGAGGAATTTATCAAAACGGAATGGTAGTTTTATTATAATAGAAGTGTATATTCTCTCGTAGGCTAAATTCTATAGAAGTATATATTTGTCTCTTTTTAGTATCTCTTTTTCGTTTTATTGAGTTTCAAATCACAACGATTTTAAAGAAGTTTGCACTTCAAAAATGGTTTTACCAAAAAATGGATGCAAATAATTAGGGTATGTGTATAATGATGGGAAGTAATCATTTTCAATTAAGTTAATATGACTTTTCTCTTTTCCGTACAAAATGTTATCATAAAACTTTAATCTATGAATTAAATTATATTAAATCAAAATGTACTCTTAGGTCATATCATAGAATCCCCTCAATTTATTGTCACCATAAACCGCTATTGTAATTATACCTTTCTTTATGGAGGTGAACTTTAACTTGCAGAGAAAATCCGCTCCACGCTGAGTGACTTTGAGCTTTCTCATACGTCAGTTACGAACTACGTTTCAGTTTTGTAAGTCATCGCCAGCAATCCGCACTATTTGTACACTTTCATTTTATGATCTTGGGGAATATCAGACAAGAACATTTTGTTGCATTTTTTCGAACGCCACGCAGACAATTTGCACCCGTCGGATGGCCTCTTGGTTGCAATTGGAGTTACCTAATCGGAAATGTTGTCTCAAGTACAAGTAACAATTGCAAGCATTCTCAACAACTACCATTATAGGTGTAATATGGACGGTAGTAATTATTTTTGTCGTGTCCATTTTTATCTTAAGACTGTTGATAAACACTACTGATGTCGTTGAACATGTGCTAAGATCCTCCAGAGATTCTGTCATAATGACTGTATTGTCGCCAATCCGAAGATAAGTAATGTAGTGCAGAAAAACAATAATAACTAACATAACCCAGTGAATCAGTAATCGAAAACCGACCGGGAAAGAAAGGTTCTTGAGTTGCAGTTTTGTACTGGCAAGCGCAGCGTTAGGCAATCCCCGTCTAGATAAAGTAACAACCAGATGAAAACCGCATGCAGACGATCGATGCAATTGGCTTAGGACCGACCTTGTAGCAGTTTGTTGAGAAGGCCTATGTTCAGCATTGGACTTGTAAAACATAGGCATATTGGCCCTTTTAATTTCTTCTCTTTATCAAGGAATATATGTAGACCACAAAATCGTTTTACTTTTGTTTAGATTATGGATTATTTTCTTGGTATTTCTGGCTCTTTACAAGAGATAGCTATGATTGTATGCGGGAATCTGTTTCCTTTTTACTTACCTACTCGGATTTTCACATCATTCATTTATATGTATTCTACACGGAAAAGTCTTTATACAAATTAAATAAAACAAAGCGAAAAAATTCACTATGTATTTTTATAAGTATCAAGTTTTAGGTCGAGCATGTGTGGCAATGCCTTTTTTCGTCAGATGTCATTCAAGGACATCCGAGTCAAAATCTAATGATAATCGGATGAATGAATAACTATGTACGCTTTTTAGTACCTAACATGCATTAAGGTAATATATTGAAAGGTACAACAATTAAATTGTTTGAGGTTACCATGGACTGGACATTTATTACAGTAGAAGGATAGACATATTATTTAAATTGCTTCAATTAAAATGAGGTGCAGGTTAATTCGGACACAAATTGTTTTCTTAATGACCATTTATATAATGGCTTCCATTACGTTTTGTAACCTTGGGGTATTTTTGTCTTTACATTTTTGTGTTCAAATTCATGACCAATAAATAAAATCAGTTAAGGATTATTTTATAAACGCCTTTAAAAAGAAGATGGTAATACTTTCGATGCAAATACTTTTTTTGACTTCCACCAATTGTGGAATCGGCTACCACGAAAGATGTTTCCGGACCGATACGACTTAGGGACCTTCAAGAAAAGAGTCTATTCCATTTTAAAAAGTCGGTAACTCACCTCCTTTTCTCCTGGTGTTGCAGTTGTTCATTGACGACGGTAGACACTTAACTTAACTCCTATAAAAAATCTTAAAAACGGCTCGACCGATATAAAATAATATTATTACTAAGGTTTATACTATAGGGTGGTCCCATACAAATTTATAAAAAAACCACCCTTAAGGGAGTTACCTATTTAAACGACATTCAAGTTGTTTCCTTGCAATTGTAAATTTTCTTAGTCCACTCAAAAGGGTAAAATAATAGAATAATTATTTTCACATAATGGCTTCTGAAGTCTAAAAAAAATTAAAGCCCGTAACTTCAGAAGCCTTAATGTTGAAATTACATTTTTTTAGTTTTTGAAGTTGGTTTATACTTTTTATGAAAATATAACTATTAAAGAAATGTTCACCCTCTTTCTCGTTGAATAAAAATAATTTGCACACAAGCATAATCTGGATGCTATGATCAGTTTTTATTTTATTGTTATCAAACGTCACCACTTCTTTCCGAGGTTTGAGGGTACGTTTTTAATCGTCGATGTGTCGAAATAACCTTCTACCCTTCCACCAATATATAAAAAACAGTTCGCAAGTTAAATAATAAATATTTTATTTTAAACGGTGTTCTTGGCGATAACTACTTTGACAACAATCCTTGGGTATTTTCCCGTAAATTCAAAAGAATTAAACTTTTAAAACTAAAAAGACTAATATTATAATTTCTTTAAAAATCATATAAATAAAGGAATATTATTAAACATGTTCCTAATCCAAATCGATATTGTAGGAAGCACGTCTTATCAAGTCGTCATTCAATCTACAAAGGGTCCATCCCTTTATATATTAATACTGTGCTCTTTAGTCCGCCCTACGCTAATCAGCATAAGGCTGCCACTCGAGAACCTTTCTTCTCCGCCAGTTATCAGTTCTTCCAACTATATGGCCGGCCCATTGCCACTCCAATTATATATATTGCATTTCATTCGATTCTAAGTAAATGCTACAGAACATGAATTGCGTAAGCGGAAGCAAGTTTTTTGATAACAATAGAAGTAAGTCAGGTCATTCATTGAGCAATAGATACAAATTCTTAAGTGGATTAAATGTTTAACAAAGGCAGTCTATTGTACGCAGAGCGTGACTACTGCCGTCCCAAACATACTCTTTGTTAAATACTGAGCAATTGTTTGTTCCCGGTACAATTTGCTTTTTGCAATTTGCGGCCGTTGTGAGAAATTACATTTTTCAAAGCTTATTATCTAAACAGTACGTAGTTTTACCGCTAACTGATAAGAAGGTAACTCTTCGTTGAACAAACGGGCCTAAATTGGATCACGTCGCTAATTTATTTTTTCAGGGCTTATAAAAATTTTAATTGAAAATTTTTGCCAAGGGTAACCAGTTGTTAAATCTTTTTACTATGTAGACTTAGTTTAATATCGACGCTTACAGTGTTTATCTTTTAAGAATATTGTTTATATTGCTTTATCATTCATCATACTATCTAGTTGGGAGTCATTCTATATTTGCTGGTACTAGACTACTAAATGCTTAGCATTATTAGAATATATCAGTTAAAGTAAAGTTACAGCTCATATACGTCCTATTGCTATACACATTTTTATATACGGCAAATAAAAAGATCAATGCTGAAGTTTGATGACAATTTCATTGGTGCCGTTGAAGATTGAACCCGGTTAACTGACGTTTTGTGAAATTTATGACGAGCGCTTATACTATAAACTGCCATGTCTTATATACCAATGTTCTCCAGACTGAATTTTGATCACAGTGGCAAGTCTCAAAAGAAACTCAGAACAGCTGGATAGGATGGCAATCCGACACGAATGGAGAAAGATCAGGCGTAGAAAACCCAATAGCTGATTTTGGCTTGACCCGGAATAAGAACTTGGGACTGCATGATTTGCAATCGCGCTTCTGACCACTACACTAACGAGAATATCATGTACCGATACTTTATTGTACAATTTGTAGTTCCAAGGATACCGATCTAGACTGGAGTTAGCCAGCCCTTAGCTCGTATGAGGTCCGGAAGTCATTGTTTGGACCTGAGAACATACGTTTTGTCATATTGCTTGTTCCAATGCTGTTAAATAGTTAAAAAATCCATCCGTAAAGAGCAAATTACTATATTTTCCACGAGTGTATCGGGGACAATAAGCGTTTTGATCGATCCGCTTTCTAAAGCTGCAGTGACTTATTTAGGGCATGTAATATGTACCGAGAGTTCTCACCTAGCTTTAGATCTTGTTTAATAATACACGACAGGGTTTTAATAGATCCTTCGTTTCACGCGAAAATATTTTTTCTTCAGTAGATTTAGTCGAATTCTGGTTATGACAACGGTACTCAAACCAGTCTGGCACTAAAAACAGGGTGTTGTCTCAATCTTTTACTTTTATGGTTTTGATAGAGAAGTGTTTATGTGAACCTTGAAAAATCACAGATATCTATAGATGATAAAACGCTTTGAAGCTTCTATACCACTTTGTTAAATACTCAATTTGTTTCTTTAAATTCTATTTTATGTAATTTACAATGACAGTGAAAAATTATGGGGGTACTAACTTAATTCCAAAGAATTAATAAAAAAGAAAGAAAATGCTTTTAAATTGTTTCATTATTTATGGCCAGGTTAGTTATTTATTAAGATTGTGCTTACAAAACTTCGAAAAATCGAAGTTAAAAATGCTCCTCCTTACTATGAAGACCATGATTATAACGATCAGTTACTTCATGCGGCACTAATTGATAATCTACAAGGCGTCGTATGAATGTTAATGTAAAACGCTTTGAGAGAGATATTTCGGCTTAGAGGTGAGAAAATCTAACCGTTGCATTAAAATGATCGCGAGAATTCGGAGGTTTTAGGGTGACGTCAGGGACGGCGCGGGGAAAGACGCAGCGAGGCGCGCGCCGGTGGAAGCACCCCGGCCCTGGCCGCCTAGCGAGAAAGTATCTGTTGATCTGTTGGGCTGTTGCGTGGCGGACGCAGGGGCCGCGCAACGGACACTTACGTCCGTATATGTTCGTAAGCGCCCGCCGTACGCGCTCTCGTAAAGAAGTATAACCCTCATAACTGCACATAAATGATAACAGTGATTGTTTCTTTCCCACTACTTACTTGCTCGTGATTTCATTCAGTGTCTGCAGACAAACACGCTTGGCGGGAGTAAACGACCCGTCAAACGCCCACGGACTGTAGTAAGGTTGTAGTAGTCTCATCGCCAGACTAGCCAACCGGGTGATGCATCGTACTACCGAGACGCATAGGTAGGATTTAATATAAGATTAAAAGGAATATAATAATTATATTTAATAAGATAAATTACTCAAATAGTACTTAAATAAATTATTATTATAAAACTTAACTATCTAAACTCAAGATAAATTTTTAAGTTTCAGTTGATAATCCCACATCATAGAAAAAAATTGTAGTTATATTTTGTAAATTACTGTAAAAAATAGGTTATCGCCTCGTATCGCATGCCTAGCCTATCCTTTCTGAAGGTTACTGCTGATTTTTTTCAAGAATGCTTCATCAGCGCAGATTCGAGACCATCATATTTACAACGCCTTTCCTCATCTCCAAAATATGGGATTTGAAATCGTTTTAAATTTAAAAATAATATTAATTGTGAGCGAAAATTACGTATTCATATTATTTAATAAGGCTTGTAAAAGTAAATGATACAGTATATATTTATTTAACAAAATAATAAGTTTTACTAGGTAATAATAAATTTTACTAGATTCGACGTCTGAGTTCGTTGGTAAGGTAAGAGCACCTTTTTCTGTCGCTAAATAGAAGTGCTTGCATTGCTGTGTCCGGTCTGGAGGGTATAGAGCTAGCATAATTACAGTCTGTGATACATTCTATCTTAGTCCTAAGAGATGACAATGCTTCTGTAGTGTTCTTTGTACAAAGTTGGCTGCAGGTCCCCATGGAGTACAGTACCAACTATCAAGTGGACTTTATGTTCGTTTGTAGCTTTAGTTTAATTAAAAAAATACTAACCGTAAAATTATTATTTTCTTTGTAAACGTTAACGCGAATAAGAAATGGTCCATAGTTTTTATTTTCATTTAAACTACACAAACTAACCATGAAAATATTTTTTGTGTCATCTCAATCATATGATTTGGAAGTTTTTATATTATGTATTAAAAAATTGTTAGAATGTATTTTGTTCGTAGATTTGCACATTCGTGGGCCATAAATTTTCTCGTCTTGCTTAACTCAATCATGAAATCGATTCCAAATTCAATTTTATTTGACGCGTAATTGCATAGAAACACCTAATTGTGTTTAAAAAAAAACCGCTTACAATTAGTAACAAAAAGGGAAGAATTGAAAGTAAGAGCAGCCCGGATTGCATCTAAACCTACTTTAAATATATTTAAAAGTTATAAAAATCCATTTTATAATTTTGTTACCTGAGTAGTAGTAATAACGTAGCATAGCGTAATGATGGTGTCATGTGATAGCGGTCAAAGAGAATCCATCACTCCATCGTATCCTGGTATCGTAAGAGAAGATTAGGGGCAACGCCAGAAAGATCTTGTGGACTCCGACCGATGGCTCATCTCCCCCTTTTTATTTGCGTCCCCTTTTTTCATCTCCTCCTTTTTATCGTATCCTCTTTTATATTTATCTCTCCCTTTTTTCATCTCATCTTTATATTCATCTCTCTTTTTTGTTTATCTCGCCTCATTTATCATCTCCCCCTTTTTATTATCTGTCCTTCTTATCATCTCCCCTTTTTATAGCTCACCGCCTTTTAGCCCGCTAGCCCTGAGCCCAAAGAAGCTGTGGACCCGATCGATGACGGTATAAACCTGTCGTGTTATAAAATCCTTACACCGACCTACGATGGGAAGCAGTCAAAAGTTAGTGACTGTAACTACGATCACCAATACGCCTGCCTAGCGTGGTGATTTTAGAAAACAATCCATAGCTCCATACTAAAAGAGGAGCCCATGTGTTAATTGAATATAATTTTATTCTTCTCACATATTTTTGCAATTGGATTCTACTAAACTATTTTTAAAGAATAAAAGTATCTCAGACAACAAATAAATGACTATAAATAGTTGAGTAAAATATTATAGAATGACGAATATTGGATATTACAGAACAAAAGTGTTATCGGTTTCGAAATTATAAATTATTACTTAATAGATATACAGTCATTATACCTCAGGGAATGAGACCTTGCCTTTAAATTCATATTACGCGAGCGTCTCCTGATAAAAATATCTAAGTCGGGGAATTACTATTGTTAAGAATACTAAGAAAGAGTCATGAGAAGGTAAGCTATCGATAGTTTCCCTGACGGATAAAGAAGTAATAAAATTTTCGAAAATAATTGTATATTTAAATTTACGGGACACAAATCACATTTCGTTTTTGTAGGTGATATCATTGACATTTTAATTTATAAGAATTTTGAGTAACTAGTTTTCTACGAGTTTAGCAACGAAGAAAAATATCATGAAAGTGAGTGTCCATGTAAAGTCCGCAAATTCATATAAAAACAATGCGGTGTTCTCTTTTTTTGTTCCCTAATTTTCCCAAAGATGGTAGCAGACAGCGCCAGTTGGTAATTTTTTATTTCATAAAGAAAATAATTCTAGTGAATATTATCATTAAAAAACGTGTTGACAGAAAATATATTACAGTCTAGACAAAACTGGCCACTGCCCTAGCAAGGTTTAACATAACGGGCTACATTTTTTACCTGTCTCATATAGTTTTAACAAAAAAGGTCTTCGCAATATATTGAAGAGTATTTTTTGATATTTTTTTTTATAATATATTATTATAAAAACGATTAGAAAGATAATTATATATTCTATGATAATTCAATTATATATTATATACTACATACCTATTCTCATAATTAACCCTATCACTTTTAATACTTATTTTTCCCGTGTGATGGCGGCGTAAGAGGATTTACCACCCTATTACGTGCCATAGCGACAGAGAGAAATTAAATATATGATGAGCAGCAGCATCTTCCTCATAAGAACTCAAAATAGTAAAAAAACGCGGTTACAAAATCGTCTGCCAAACATGACATCAGAAAAAGAAACTTTTTTATTCATTATAGAATATAAATAATACTTATTGGAAGTCAAAACTACAACTATGGTCAATGCTCTCGTTAGAGAACCTATGTTCAGCTGTTGACTTTTGATTGGCTGTCAAAAAATAAACTTTTTTGTTTAAGAAAAATGTACGCTAAAGCTTATTAATGTTAATATTGCTCATTTACGAAACGGAGTACGAAGCTTGATTTATGATAGCAGTTAGTTGTTTATATCGCGTTGCTTGTTCGTGGCATTGTGTTGTTGTGTTACAGTCTTGGGGAGAAAAAAGGGGGAGATGAGCCATCGGTCGGAGTCCACAAGATCTTTCTGGCGTTGCCCATAATCTTCTCTTACGATACCAGGAGGCGATGGAGTGATGGATTCTCTTAGATCACGCTATCACATGACACCATCATTACGCTATGCTACGTTATTACTACTAATCAGGTAACAAAATTATAAAATGGATTTTTATAACTTTTAAATATACTTAAATTGTTTGTATCGATATACGAGATGATTTTAAAAGTAAAATAACATTTTGTAAAGCTTTACGTTTTGAGCGACCGCCGATTCGGAAAACAAGCGCGTGTATTTGTCATGCATTACTCGTACGAACGCGCTTTCCTTCATATTCATTTATTACTATAAATAATTAGGAGACTTATTTAATTTTATAGAACTACCAATTATGGTATTTAATAACGAGCGTTTAATGAAATTGTTATTGTCATAATTCGGAAAATCAAAAGATTTCATTCTCAGATCAACGAAGAAAGATAGACGGAGCGCTGCGTACATTTCAAGTACCGCTGAAAACCTATTCAAATCCTTGACCTGAAATAATTGTGCGAAAGTCTATCTTTCTTTGTTTGTGTGCGATTTCATTTAATTTTATTTCATTTCAAGGCATGCCACCTCGTCAAACGGCTAGTACTGTTGCTGTGTTATAACACCATAAAGCTAAATAAGTATATATAGAGAAAACCTATATCTTGCACCTTATCTTTTAATATTGCTGTGTAGGGTGTGATTGAACATAAGTAATGAAGTGAAATACCTTACACATCATGTATTTATAACAAACGCGTTCACTACAAATGACTCTTTCAGTAATTTAGTTTATTTAAAAAATATTGGTTCTTAATCGATGATATATGCAGATGTCTATGAGCTTATATCCACTTACCATAAAGTGAACTGTGCGCTCATTTGTCACTCTTATTCATGCAATAATTATTGCAATTATTGTAGATATGATGTTTTTCAATGGCTGCTATTTGATAAGTTGTGGTTACTTATAATAACACAGACAGGAATTCATGGCGTAAAATGTGGTAGTTTATACCGTTCCAGTAGTTGTTTAGTTTATAAACTCTAAAAAAAACACCATGAGATAAATTTGATATTCCTCATGTCCCAAAGACGCCTATAAATCCATCAATGAATATAAGAATATGTTATATATTTATTTACTCTCACAAATAAGTTTACCAAAGGTAAAGTATAAACAATGTAGACTATGGGTAGAGAGCTTATAGTCTACATTATTTGTCTGTACTAGGCGGAAGCTTGTGTTACCGATCACAAGGGTCCCTTCCTCAGGATACTATCAACGTAGCTTACAATGCAATTTGTATGATTAACAAATGTGAGACATCATATTGTATTACTAGTACTTTTGTGATGGTATATATATATATATATACATTTTATATATATATATATTTTATATATATATATATATATTTATATGTGTATATGTCTGTGTGTGTGTGTGCTATATATAACTTATCTAGTATTAAAACTATGTTTATGAAATAAGAAGGTTGTCAGTAGTATCATAGTCCAGACTTAACAACTATTGGGTGACGTTTAATTTGCAAGTATTCTATTGAGGGGATACTTCTGTACTTATATTAAGTAAATGAAAATGAAAATGTGTGTTATTATAAAATGGGCCGCATCCAGCGAAGAGCGA